CCGCCTTGGGTCCCCCGGCATGCCACTATGCCACGTATTCCACAGCTGTCATTCGTGCCACCGAGGCACCAGCTGCCCGAAATAGCAGAACGCAACGGACTGCCACGTCTCCTCGCTCGCCATGCTTGTGAGGTGACCTGCCGAAAGCTCTATCTTCTCAGCCTGCTGTTCTGGAAGTGGGATATTGGGAAATGCTGAAATTGAATTTAGGACTTATCTTTACAGAGAAGCTTCTCTGATGAAGATTGTATGAAAGTGCGCATGACAGTTGACACAGAAATACAAAATATATTTTACAGCTTTGGTCGTTCGAAAAATTCCAGCTATTCCATTCCATGAACCCAAAAAGCTTGAGCAAGCACTAATGGAGGAATGAAAGGGTAAAATGATATAAAATGACAAAAGGAAGAAAGATGGAAAGACGAAGGATGTATTTCGGAATATGGCAGAAGGGAAGAATGAAACGATACTGAAAAGGAATAAAAAGATGGAAACGAATGCTAGCGAGGAAGCTATATTCAGGGCTGTTGGGGGTTGAAACTAGTAGTTTTTTTTTTTTTGTTGGTATGGGCAGCTCCAAGATCAAAACAGGACGGGCTGAACGGTTGAAGAGGCGATTGTCACATGACAGGCATGGCCTGATGCATGGGTGGAGAACCTACCCCGGCCACCCCGGCCGTGGCCGGGGTAACTTTCAGCCAACCCCGGCGCGGCCGGGGTAACCTTTTCACTCTTGTAATTCCTTAAAACTGTCTCCAAACGAGAAAAAGCTGAGTTCTACCTACAAAAGTGTCTCTCTTTACTCTTTTCTACCTCTTTTAAGTTTTTGAAGATCTATTTATTTTGATTTTGGAACTTTTTGACTAAATATTTTCATCGCAGAGCGCGACAAGTTTGATCAAACATGCAAAATAAAACGATATTCAAGGGTCGTTATCGTAAGATCACGTTACAATAACATCACACAAGAAAACAGGTCTAGGGACGGGTCATATCAATGAGACAAAATGGGTAGCATTGAAGAAGTAGAAGAGCTGCGGGAGCTCAAGGCTTGAAACTTGAACCACGCCAGAGTGGTGCCCCTATCGAAAACGCTGAGGCGAGATGTAGAGTAGGCGTTATACGCCCTTTCAAACTCGGCTGCTGGGCTGCGTGGCGAGGAGTGGCAGCGCCGTTTGAAAGAACGCTAAACATAATAAGAAAAATTTCGTCATATTTTAGGCCAGCACAAAATAAATCACCACAGGACATTAAAAGTCAAATTTTCCCTTTCATAGCGTGCTTTCACAACTTTTCTCATAGCTCGTGATCTAGAGGAGCTAGAACACTGCAAACAAAACATTTGATAGCTATTCGCGAGCGACATTTCAGGTGCAAGTGAAATTACCAATCGCTTGGCTTCAAGAGGGCCACAACGGTCAAATTTAACATTTTTGTGTGAAAAAGGAAACTTTCGTCTTTTTAGGAAATACCCAAGCTCTGCAAATGATCCATGAACACAGACTGTTAAAACATGGTTATTAAGCAAAATCGACCTGATGGCCTGACCCTAGGTGACTTGGGAGCGAAATTCAGAACCACGATGCGAAACTGATTTATTATAGCTGAATCTATAATTTATAACTGCCTTAACTGAGTTTCACGCAAATGCTTGCCGCGGTTTCACCTACAAACGTAAAAGCAACTGGGGACTAAGGCTAGAAACGCCCCCGGCCCCCGACACCATTATGAAACTTGAGGCGAGGTCACTTGATGTGACCTGTTGGCCTGACCTTGAATAACTGAGAAATAACTGAGAGTTTAAGTGTTCATCATTCAGCAATCACAACGTCCATTATTTCAATCAACAGAAAAGGGGTTTGTTGATAACCGTTTACAAATGTTATTTGAGCATGCCGTCTTTTCCATGACTATCGTTCGCCGGCCGGGGTAACTTTTTCAAACATTCTCCACCCATGGCCTGATGGCTGACATTTGACAGACTAAGGCCAGCCAATGCCAGAATTGTCAAACGGATGTGTCTGGCTTCTATCCGAAAAGATTCTTAGGCCAGACGTCAGAAAAAGAGAAGTAAATAATTCCTCAAAATTCTTGACTGGTCCACGGATTATTTAAGCTATATTTTAATGACCATGGCAGCTGATGACCATCAGGGTCCAACGATTCGACACACTCGCGAGGAAGGGGCAAAACGCCACGATAATTGAGAGCGATCACCACGGAGAGGCCGTCGCGATCATCTTAAGTTTGGCGTGGCGCCGGTCTGTGGTAAACGAACGTGGTCGAGGCGTCGGGCCGCGCGGGAGCTTCTCCGTCGGTTACCCCCCCCCCCGCGTCGTCGCCCCCCCCCCCTGTCGGCGGGGGTGGGAGGGGGCGGCGTTCAGCCTCCACCGACTATGTTTGCTTTGGCTGCTGAGCTCCGACGAACAACGGAATGGGACGGGCCCCCGGTCTGTGGCTGCCGGCGGATCATCCACCCGACCCCGCGACCTCCCCCTGGAGCAGGCACCCCGCGGACACCCCGCAGACACCCTGCAGACACCCGCGCGGACACCGTACAGACACCCCTTGACCCCAGCTGGAGCCCCTGGGCTAATGGGTGTTATGTCTAGCACTAGACCAGATCAAGGAAGTAAAACCAAAAATAATGATGGGGTGGTTCTCCTAGCCATAGTCACCGTTGCTTATGTATGGGATGCAGTGGAAATCTGCCGACATATTGGAAGCAATGGTCAGTGTACCTACCTAATGACTTATCGGAGAAAAGCACGAGATCTACTCATTTACTGCTTCATAAAAACTGTAATAAATCCAATATAATTCTTACAGGTACCTACTAAGCAACTTTGGTGATGACCGATTGGACGCAACACAATCTTCTTTTCTCTTGCGGCTGATAACATTTTTATATTCATAGTTTGTCGTATTTTTGTAGGCGTACAACTATTGTGGCGCTGCCCTCTGCTCTCCGGCCGACGCAAGGACGCAGTCAGCTGATCAACTTTGCCCCGGGCGGTGTCGTCAGTCTCACGCTGCCGTTGTTGTGGGGAGGGGAAAAGTGCACTCCTGCAGAAGTGCGTGCAAAGCTTTCGTGTACTCGCGTTTATATTTGTTTTTAGTGAGAATTTCTTGGAACAATCCATTGGAGAAACTTTTGAGCTTTACCCCGCGCCCCAGTGGCGGTCTCAGCCAACTTCGCCCTAGTGAGGGGGGGCATATGTTACCACCCACCTCTAACTCAAAAACTAAGATGGATAGAAAGACGCGGTAAAAAGCAGTCGATAGCTCTCAATGCGTACGTTTGAAAGTATTTCGGTCATTTTTCATCTTAAAGCAATATTGGGGTCACCAGAGGTCATCAAAGGTCAAAATTTGCCAATGGTCATTATATTTTTCAGAAAACATGCCGTTATCTCAGGAACTATGGTAGCTAGAAAAACGCATGGAACAGCAATCGATAGCTTTTGAACTCGTCTTTTGATAAGGTCATTATCAAAATTGACCTCAGGTCAACGGTTTAGCCTCCAGAGGGCAAAAACTCCAAAAATAGCTGTTTTTACAAAAAGTGTTTTTCGACAATAACTTTCGACTACAAAAAGCCACGACATTTCTATTGCCAGAATCGTGTTTCTCTCGCCAAGACGCGTCGAATGAACTATAATTTGACCTAGAAAGGTCAACTTGAAAATTTGACCTCAGGTCAAGGTCATGACCTGACCGGAAAAGGTCATGTTGCATATCCGTCGATGCGTCTCGGCAAGACAAACACAATGAGACCATCCCCAGTGTTCTATCTCTTTCCAATCTCGAGTTATTGGCAAAAAACTGTTTGTAGCCTCAAGTGACCTCGGATGACCTTTCTAGAGGCTATCAGCAAAAATGACACCTTGGTCATCACGGGTTGTCCAAATCATTATGATTCTGAAATATTTGGACTGTTCCTATGCGTACACACGGATCTAGAGGCATTTTCATTTTTCTCCATTGACTTGTAATGGAAAGGTCACGCCACTGACCTGACCTTAGGTCACGGATATAAAAAATCCGAGATATACAACTTGTAGGGGCCCATAACATCATGCAATTCACCAAGTTTAAAACCTTTCTGACAAACACTGCAGGCTGGACATGATTGCAAACTTTTTCTTAGGCTTGGTCAGTTAACTTGACCTGGTGACCTGACCTGACATGACCTGGGGTCAAAAATTTCACACATTGTCCAAAATTGATGTACCAAAAGCTACCCCAAGCGGCGCGGCGCTACGCGCCGCGGTTTTTTATTTACACGCAAAAAACGTGACAGGGTGGTAACATATGCCCCCCCCCCCCACTGGGGCGAAGGTTAAATGACATGTGAAAAACGGTTAGTGCCAGTGGTAATCAAATGTATGTGAAATTAAGCACAGTGAAAGGCAGAAACATCAGTGAATACCTACCGGTGCGTAAATAAGGAACCATTTGAAGGAAACTTTTTCATGCCAAAAACGACGGTTTCCTCGATGTGGTAAGTGTTGTTATTTGATTGTAGTGATGATGTTTTCGAGATAAAAAGTCTCATTTCAGTTATCCTGGGTGCCGTTTTATATCAGCCTCGAAAGATTCCATCGTTACTAAAAAATCGTTTTTTATGACTAATCGGCTAGCGAATGGCTGTCACCCGTGTTTCGCATTCTCAGGACGAACAACCCCCATCCATGTTCACTTCACACAGCAATGAATTCTGATCGACGGTCACCCCGCGTAGACACCGTGGAGGGAAAACCCGAAGGTGGCATACTATCCCGGAGTGTTCTTTTCAATTTGAGTGGCCGGTGGGCCGTCACGCTGAGGCACTATCGTTGCCGCCCAACAAAATGGGCTTAGCCACTGTAGCGATTGGTCATACTCAGCCCAATGTATCCGCATTACCCTTCTTTCAGACCATAGCCCTGAAATGGTATGGTGTAAATAGCCCGAAAGACTTACAAACTCACCCCCAAAAGAGATTGGCCTTGACCTACCGGGTAGCTCGTGGCCAGTCCGCTGGAGGTCCTTCCTTGTGGCTGGTCCCGTGAGGAAGGCCTTCTTCACCTTGGACCAGTTGCTCTCTCGCCCCAGACTGCTGGTTTGAGACTCGTAGGTCGGCCGGGTGCCTGCCGAGGCTGAACGCTGGTGCTGCGGGAAAAAATAAGCACCTAGACATTACATCAGTCTTTTTTTGTTTAAGAAGCTGTTGGGTATTGCTCGTTCAAATTTAGAGCTTCGAAGCTATTGAAATAACAGATAAATTTTCACATGGAGATATGCCCATTATAGATTTGTCACCATATACGACAGTCGACAAGCTAGACAAAAACATCTACATTCTGCGACAAACGGACACAAATTTGTCACAATAATGATATTAATATAGTTCACTCCCAGCTTTCTTGTTAGACTCCCCGCTCTCCCAAACTTAGGTCTCTCACCTGTCCTACCGATCCTTCGTGGCTCTCTTCCCTGGACGACTGTCGTGACGTCTCCTCCCTGGAAACCTGTCTAGACACGTCGGGAGGAGACAATCGTCCCTCCTCTCGCGACGTCTGCCGTGAAGCCTCCAACTGCGGATCCTCTCTGGTGCTTTGTGTCACCTCAGCTGGGCGCGATTCACGAGACTCGTCACGAGATACGTGTCTGGAGACTTCACCCGACGCTGGATGACTCTCGTCTCGTGAATGACGTCGTGACTGCTCCAGGGAAGCGTCCTGTGACCTTCGTCGCCAGCTGCCGGCGCGTCGCAAACGTCGCGATTCGTCTTCCTCGTCAGCGACGCTGGTGTAGCTTTCGTAACCCTCAAAGTCGCCACTAGGTGTCTCTAGTGTTGCCCCGTCCGATACTGCGCCGTCGGTCACATTGCCACTGGCGCCACCTATACCGCCGCCACGTCCCGATTTCTTTTTGGCGCTGTATTTGCGCGGCTGGACGATGGCGCGTACTCTGCCCCACGTGCTTCGGTCTTTCTTGTCTTTGGTTTTGTCGTGTACGCGAAGAAGTTCGCGATCGAGCGACTTGGTTTTGGAAGTTTCGTCTGGACGCCATGTTTCTAGAAGGGAGAGCGAAGCGTTTTTCGGCAATTCTGTGAGAGGAAAGAAAACGGATATTTGAAAAGTATATACCACATAGCATAAAAGAATGTCGCTGGGATAAAGATGAACCATAAGAAAATAACGAACAAAATACAACAGTCTGGGGATGTAAACTAGAGCCACTAAAAGCCCCTTGTTTGCAGATCTTATCATTGACACCTCACTTTGGCTGGATACCTTACTGAAGACAAGCTCATGAAACAAAAACACAGACTAAGTGGGGTTTGACAGGCCATTGAGACATCTCTTGCGTTTGCTGGAAAGTAAACAAGGGCGGAGGCCAAACTCAAGGACTTGGATGTTCTTCAAATGCGACAGGCGACTTTGAACCACCATAACTATTTCAGTTTATGCATGTTTTATGGCAGCCATGAAGAGAACTAGACTATGAAATTTACGACGGATAGGTACTGCCGGAAGTAAGTTCAGGATGGAGGTAACTTCATAAAAGATGAGTATATCATTAGGGTGACCGGTTTTGCAAAAAGTTTCGAAAAGTTTTGCTCCCCAGGTCTAATCTAACGTATTCGGGGGTGCTGATCACGAATCCGGCGGAAAAAATATAAAATTCGAATTTTTTTTTGACCGCCCCGGCTCTTTGAATATTTCCGGTTTTCTCAATTTTTGCATGTTTTTGAATAATATGATGAATGTAATGAAAAAATATTAACAATGTATCGCTAAATGCATGTACCAGTCGATTCGGCATACAGCGGCGTCGAAATCGGCAGGCGGCCTGCTTCACCGGCCTCGCAGGAAAGCATAAGGCTCGGAAGGTTTGCGTTAGGTACCCGATTCTCTCCATAGATGGCGCTGGCGTAGCCGCCCGCCGGCCGGTCGTTGCCGTGCCGTTCACAGCCCCGGCGGTCACTTGCGACCGTCGTGGTCGTTATGCTACGTCTATCAAAGCACGACAGAAATGTTCACTTCATTTTTGTGTTACTTCAGACATATTTTAGACCTAATGTTGAATTGGATAAATGACTATCGTGAATTGGCGAAATAGTGGAGTGCGCTCGGGAGCCATTTACAATAGCGAGGAACGTAGGTGGATTGATCTGAGTAATATATGACACTGCGTTCACTGTTGATATGAAGTTTATTCACACTATGTAGCATGTAGTCGGGTGACATGAGAACAAAGTGACTAACATACCTTGTGTACGACACATGGATGAAGCTAATGCTACTTTTTCATTTTGTTTCGGTAGGCCCGTTTATTCAGAGCGTAGCCGTCCTGTCGGTCTGCGCCTGTTACAGCTGTGACTGATTCGGTGGTCAGCTTTACAGCCCTTTCGGTGGATTGGGTATGGCAGGGGACCCCCGTTTTGGAGTCTGTAGAAAGTCGCGCAACTCATCCTCGCTCATGTGTCGTACACAAGGGGGCTCAATGTCTCGGCCCTCGTCAACCGCTCGCTGCACGTTAACCAGTTCCATATAGTTGTTCGCTTGAACGTTAATTTCCGGCAGCCGGAAGTGCCGAATGGGCTGCTGCTGTGGCGGTGGGGGTGGCAGCTTTGGCGGCGGTCGTGGCGGCGGTGCCGGCGGTGGTGGTGGTGATGGCCGCCGCCGTTGCAGACGCCGCTGCTGCTGTTGTGGCGGCGGCGGCGGCGTTGGTGGTGGTGGTGGTGGTGGTGGTGGTGGTGGTGGTGGTGGTGGCGATGGCCGCCGCCTCTGTCGCCGCTGCGCTTCTGCTGTGGCGGGGGCGGGAACGGCGGCTGCTCCTGTCGCTGCCTTTTTTGATGAATGCTCTGGATTATTAATCCAGAGCATTCGTCTTGGATTATTAATCCAGAGCATTCGTCAAAAAAGGCAGCGACAGGAGCAGCCGCCGTTCCCGCCCCCGCCACAGCAGAAGCGCAGCGGCGACAGAGGCGGCGGCCATCGCCACCACCACCACCGCCACCGCCGCCGCCGCCGCCGCCACAACAGCAGCAGCGTCGTCTGCAACGGCGGCGGCCATCACCACCACCACCACCACCACCACCGCCGGCACCGCCGCCACGACCGCCGCCAAAGCTGCCACCCCCACCGCCACAGCAGCAGCCCATTCGGCACTTCCGGCTGCCGGAAATTAACGTTCAAGCGAACAACTATATGGAACTGGTTAACGTGCAGCGAGCGGTTGACGAGGGCCGAGACATTGAGCCCCCTTGTGTACGACACATGAGCGAGGATGAGTTGCGCGACTTTCTACAGACTCCAAAACGGGGGTCCCCTGCCATACCCAATCCACCGAGAGGGCTGTAAAGCTGACCACCGAATCAATCACAGCTGTAACAGGCGCAGACCGACAGGACGGCTAGGCTCTGAACAAACGGGCCTACCGAAACAAAATGAAAAAGTAGCATTAGCTTCATCCATGTGTCGTACACAAGGTATGTTAGTCACTTTGTTCTCATGTCACCCGACTTCATGCTACATAGTGTGAATAAACTTCATATCAACAGTGAACGCAGTGTCATATGTTACTCAGATCAATCCACCTACGTTCCTCGCTATTGTAAATGGCTCCCGAGCGCACTCGACTATTTCGCCAATTCACGATAGTCATTTATCCAATTCAACATTAGGTCTAAAATATGTCTAAAGTAACATAAAAATGAAGTGAACATTTCTGTCGTGCTTTGATAGACGTAGCATAACGACCACGACGGTCGCAAGTGACCGCCGGGGCTGTAAACGGCACGGCAACGACCGGCCGGCGGGCGGCTACGCCAGCGCCATCTATGGAGAGAATCGGGTAACTAACGCAAACCTTCCGAGCCTTATGCTTTCCTGCGAGGCCGGTGAAGCAGGCCGCCTGCCGATTTCGACGCCGCTGTATGCCGAATCGACTGGTACATGCATTTAGCGATACATTGTTAATATTTTTTCATTACATTCATCATATTATTCAAAAACATGCAAAAATTGAGAAAACCGGAAACATTCAAAGAGCCGGGGCGGTCAAAAAAAATTCGAATTTTATATTTTTTCCGCCGGATTCGTGATCAGCACCCCCAAATACGTTAGATTAGACCTGGGGAGCAAAACTTTTCGAAACTTTTTGCAAAACCGGTCACCCTAGTATATCATGCACTATCCCACAGCAGTTTCCGCTCGGTCTACCACGTCTTGGTCCACCTACCCATGTCGTCCTGTTCTCGCGCCATGCGCACGAAGTCCGGTTCCGTGAGATCCTCCGAACTGGAGGCGGTCGAAGAGGACATCGAAGACACCGCCGTGTTGGGCGTCAGGCCCGTGGAGCCTCCTGGGAAGAGAGAAGCACAAGGGGCTAAGTGCGTAAAAAATGGAGAACGAGGGAATGCTCGCTGCTCGTCATTTTGACTTCCGCGTCGCCGCTTTTCCGGCATGTCTTTTTCTTTTTATAGATAACGCGAATGATGTTTGATTACTAAACATGAGAATAAGTACCATTCATATTATTTACTGTAAAAATCATTTAGATAGCATTACATGATTATCACATAAATGTTATGATTAGATGGTATGATAGCATTGCCTTTCAAATAAATAATGTCATCAATAAATTATAAAGCATAAATAATCCATGTAGTTGGCATAACTCTCCCCCCACAAAAAAAAAAAACTAGATACTACGGGTCAAAAATATATCAACAAACCCATCCACCCTATCTTACGACCCTGACCCAGTTCCCTCATCTTCCTTCAACACGTGCAGCGCATAGCGGGACGCTAAGTCAGCCTCTGAATCACATCACCTACCAGCGTGGCCTGTCACAAACTCCGGCTGAGATCCAGCGTCCCCCAACCATGCCCTGTGACCACTTAGCGGGCAACCACGTGGGTCACATCTCGGTGACGAGACTGTCTGTCTCCTCCCCCCTCCCTCCCCCCGCGGAGAGTCTCGAGCCAAGCATCACACGGGGTGGTCGCCTCCCCCCTGGGCCAACCTGCCACCTCCTCAGGTCAGCGGGGAGACGGATGGGTCGGGTCAGACGAGCGCCATTGAGACGAGAGGCGTGGTCAGCTGATGTAACTGGCGGTCATTTGTCTCTTGGGGGAGGGAGTGAGAGGGTAATGTTGCCAGAGAGAAATCCGATGACTCATAGAAGAACAGCTGGCTGAGGATATTATATGTATAGTCGCCTATCGGAGGACAGAATAATTAACTAGCATAGGACGACACCGTGACTGACTGAGAACAGAACATCTGACTAATGAATGAGGACAGAACAGCTGGCTGACTGAGAACAGAACAGCTGGCTGACTGACAAGTGACAACAGAACAGCTGGCTGGCTGAGGATAGAACAGCTGGCTGACTGAGGACAGAACAGCTTACTGAGGACAGAACAGCTGACTGACTGAACGGCACTAATTGGCTGACTGCTGAATGGCAAATGTAATAGCATGACATGAATTGTAGCAGCTCAGTGGCAGGGTCTTGTCAAAAGACGAAACGAGATTGACCAACCGATTGATAGAAAGTCGGACAAGAATGTACACCTGAGCCCCGTTCCAAAATCGAAATATCGTGCTTGGTAGCTACGAGCAAGCTTTGGACTGACATCCTGTAAATACGAGTATGTAATCCTTCCTCAATGTTTCTTCCAGTTATCTTATAGGAAATACCTTGCTTATAATATCCCGGTGATTAGCAAAATTATGTTCAAAGCAACTAGGATATTCCTAAAAATTGCAATGATCAATGTAAACTGCTTTACTTCACAACAAAGCATACTACATATAGCAGGCTTTGTTATATTGATGCAACGTAGCGCTGCAACGTTAGGTTACAGCTTGACGTCACGCTCTCCTGTTTCTGCCGCTACCGCTGCCAAACACCCATAGATCCCAGATCACAGGCGCGCGTCAGATCGCCCGGCCACTCACCTGACAGCATGGAATCCACGGGCGACGGACTCAGGTAGGAATCCCGCGACCTGGAGCCTCCAGGAATCTGCAGCAGGCGCGACCGGTCCACCTCGAGTCCCGAGTCCTGCGATTTGGACTCTGGCAGCGGTGCGACAGGCGCGGACTCCGCGTGTCGTGTCCGAGCTGCAGACTCCCCGGGGCCTGCACTGTCCTCGCGAATCTCCTGCGCCTTCTCCCATCGAAACGCCTCCTTCACCTTTGTCCACTTTGAGATCTTGGCTTTGCCGACGCCTAGCTCGTTGCCTCGCCGGGGCGGGATCGGTGGAGGCAGGCTTGCCACGGTTGTTCGAGCAGGTCTCGGGGGAGTCGGTTGAGGAATAGGGGCATCTGGAATGGCCTCCGGTGTGTCATGTCCCACTGATTTACTTCGTTCGCGCTGCTGTACATACAGTGCCCTCTTCAGTTTGAGATTACGTTTGCCTTTGGTGGGTGCGTCCCCGCCACGGCTTTTGAGAAGGCTTTCCTCAGAACCGTGCCGTTGACTTGGGGATACACCAGAGGGATTTGGGCCACTGCCCATGGTCCACTGAGCTTCCTGCAGGCCCTTCAGCTCTTCTAGGTACTGAATCCTTCTCTGGAGGAGTGAGTTCTGTTCCCTGAGGTCGCCGAGCTGCTCCATCAGCTTACATAGATGGTCGAGATGTTCCAGTCCCACCTTGGAAGAACCTCCCGCAGTGGCAGACTTGCGCAACTGTCCGCTACCACCCGGGGGCCGCAGTCGCTCCGAGCCGAGATCGGACGAGGGCAGCGACAGCACGTACTCGATAAAGTCCCTCTCGGACCGCAGCGCAGCCTGGGGATCATCATCCGGCTCGAAGAAGAAGCTCGCAGACACTGTATCCGGGCCTGGGGAAGGCCCTGGTGAAGGAGAAGCCACTCCACTCTGAGTATCGTCACCGAACTCGAACACGGACGCGCGCGAGTGAGACGCCCACGGTGGTGAACGCACTCCTGGAGACCGCGGACCTGCGGAGGTGCTTTCAGGCCGCTTCAGCGTCGCGCCAACAACTCTGGGAGCCGTGCCACCCAGGCGCTGCTGAAAGAAGGCGATGTCGGGGTCCGAGTCCGCCGATAGAGCTGCTGCTCCTGACGTTGATGCTGCGGAGGTGGTTGCTCGCGTCAGATCTAGAGGACCTGGACGGGAAGCCATGTCGAGTCGGCCACGACGTCGATGAACACCAGTCTTTCTACGTCGGACGGAGGCACGATGATCGCTCGCAGCTCCCACGCAAGAGATTCGAATCTCGGGACGGAGTTCGGATGGCGATCCCGATCCGGATTCTATCCGGATTGCAGGAGGTGACTCTGACTGCTCTGCACGTGAGTCAGAATGATCTGCGGATTTTGCTGCAGTCTGGCGCTCAGAGAAATTCGCAGGTTCTGAATTTAAGCTTGTCTGACTTTGATAGCCCAGACGATTTCCAGAATATGCATCCAATGAACTCGCTTTTCTTATCTCACACCGTGGAACAGCTCTCGCTTCAGATCTTGACTTAGTGGTTGACTTGGAGCTTACGTCACCTTTTGTCGATTTTCGCGAGACTCCGAGCTTTGTTTTCTCAGTCACCAACTCCTCTCCCCACTCCCCACTCTCCCTCGCCGTCTGACCTGTCCGTGGAGCCGCGCGGGGCTCGGACCTCGACTCGCGTCGCACTCCACGTCTCTCCTCAGGCGTCACCTCACTCCTCGATCCTCGCCGCAAACGTGACCTCACCACCGACGCAAGACTGGATCGTCGCGCGGGCGGGGCGGCGGAGCGGCTCTCGTCTCGGCTGGCCCTGTCGACACCACCACTGGAGGTGGAATCCAGCGCTCGACGGGCGGCAGACATGGCCCGCGCCGCTGGCTGGCAAGTTACCGCCGCAGGATATTATTAGCACGACCCGGGCGACGGCCGACGCGGGAGGCCGCGGGCAGTGCTGGCACCTGTCGGCGAGAAACAGAACTTGAAGTGCAAGGTTTGCCTTTGTGGATGGTACGGTTTTGGTCGTTCTGTCATTGCTAATTCGATAAATACAATTCGGCACCTATTTACTCGTCATCGTTTTTTATAGTTTAATTGAGTTAACGAGAAGCGAAAGGCGATAATAAGCTAAGAATGAGCCGCTGGATCGCATTATATGCAGTTACCTATACAGCATGATCTCCCTGCACCATCTTTGTGACCTAAAAGCGTTGACATGACTTTGACCTGTGTTTAACGTCAAAGTTGACCTTTCCCAAACGTAGGTAATGCATCATATTCGGCCAAAGCATTTGAGCATGAATTGAGCACGACGTTATGGTGCCAACTGCCAAGATATCATTACCTATTTTTCCGGCAATTTAAAATAATGCAACGTGATTATACTTTGATAAGCAATTGCCAAAAAGCAGACACTTTCCAAAGACTTTTTGTCTGACCTCAGAGGACAACGTTTGACCTCATATCCTCCTAAAATTGGGTACCAGCTGCTGCGTCTCGTGCCAGCGCTCACGCTCGTTTATCCGCGAAGCTGTTAGGTAGCCCACAGAATTTGCGAAACATTTCCAGCTATGTTGTAAAATTTAATAATTGTAATTTGACTCCTGTTTCCGAAGCGAGGAATCTTGGAGTTCATTTTGACTGTGCCCTTAGCTGGGACACTCATGTTTCTGTTGTTGTGCACCGTTGTTTCGGAATTCTTACCGGATTGTCGCAACTGAGGGGCCATTTACCGCCATCTACCATTTCTATTCTAGTGGATGCGCTAGTTTTATCTCATATCCGCTACTGTTTATCCGTTTATGGTAATACCACAAACAAAAATCTTCTTCGGATTCAGAAAGTGATCAATTATGCCGCCAAAGTCATTTTCCGTCGCAAGAAATTTGACCATGTGTCCGATCTGCTTCAACGTATGGGTTGGTTGAAAGCTAATGAGCTCGTCCAGTACCACACTATGTGCATGGTTCATAGAGTACGTCGCGCAGGCGAACCTGAAGCACTGGCTGAAAATCTCATTAAAAGCTCAGAGACCCGTGACCGCAATACTAGACAAAACAACACATTGTACGTACCAATGTCACATACAGAGATGGGACGAAGGCGTTTCTGCTGTCGTGCACCTCGCCAGTATAATGCGCTGCCACATGATCTGACGTTACGCTCGACGCCAGCTTTCCGGAGTCACTTAGTAAGCCACCTATGTGACAGTCGCACCGTGACTGGGCAAGAGTGACGTGGTCCGATGTCTGAACTATTAGAGCAATGACTATCGAGCGATTGTTGTTAAATGTGGATGATTCGTCTCGTGTGTGTATAAGATGTGCTATTTTTTTACAGCAACCTAGGCGTGGTTTATAATAGGGCAGGGAATGCTGTGTACATATGTTGCATGCTTTGTACTACATAACTGAGACTGTAACAGCCTCGAGTACATCGAGGATTGTCTCATTAAATACATTACATTACATTACAAGCTCTAGCTCAATAAGGGAAAGGAACTGGGAGGGATGAGGTCACATCCGACCCTGTTGGCCGAGGTGTAAACCGACAGGCCCTGCACTGGCGGATCATTGATCATCCAGAAGTTCAGGGGCAAACGCACCCACAGCCGCCGAAGTTGATGCAACATTTTCGTTCTTTCTTGAATAGGTACCTACAATGAAAACTACACTTCAAAGGAAACAATGATGAAATTAATTGCACCGTGCGCTCTTTCACGGATCATTTTTTAGTCAATAGTTTAATTTTGTATGACCTCGATAATTGTTTAAGTTGTAATACCAGGTTTATATTTTGTTCGGCAAATTCTCGAAAAAAAAAAACAGATCATTATCAAGCCACTTCAAAAATTGACAAAATAAGTTTTATAGCTGTCGCCAGGCTACATTTTTTATTCGCGTGGAGAGCTGGAGCCTGGACTTCGAGCTCGGATAGAACAAAGCCGATGCACCATTACAAAAGGCAGCTGCCTCTACCCTATTCTAAGGTCTCAACGCAACCGGTGACCTCTGAAATTAGTGTGATGTCTGCTATTGTAGGTCAGTGAAATGTGACACAGTTCATCGTTCAGTTTTTGATAAATGGTATGGTTTCATTAAAAAGGTCCAATAGCTACGATTTTGATGCCATCGTGTTTTCGCCCATGGCAACGCTCGTGTTCGTGCCTATTGTCACATTGAATGATGTCTCATGTCATTTTGTATGCGACGTGTCAACTTAGATGTTGAACTACATAGAGTCAAGATCATGACAAAAGTTCAGAAATCAGCATTAATGGTTACGTCATCGGATGAACAGACGACCAAACAGGTCATATTAGCCGTTTTCACGACGGGCTATCTGGTGAATGCACTTAATTTGACCAAATCTGCCCCAAATCAACTGCAATAAATATATTCGTATCATGAATTTATTTCAGCGTTTAGATCGAAAACAGTGTCTGATAATTTAAAAAATGAGGTATGTATTATATAAGCATATGTGGAGCCCAAACTGATAACTTATAAGAAGCACGCTGAACCTTATTTGACCAAAGCTGCACCAAATCTGCACCTAATGTGCACCAAATGTTAACCAAATCGCCGTCGTGAAAACGGCTATTGATGACCCCGAAAGGGGATTTTAGTTTTTTGTTTTTTAAATTACATAACTAAACAAAAGCTAATTTTGACCTTTACCTCGACCATTGTCGTAAATTGATAAGTTTTTTTTTATAATCGGTTCATTGCAAGCATTTCCCAGAGATATTTTGTTTAATACCACTTTTGCTTCAGTACCTAGCTTTTTTTTATTCAGGAAGTTAACCATGGGCAAAAGTGACCTTTGAGTCCTAATGATCACCCTCACTCCCCGGCTCCTTATCCCTACAACACCATTCGATTCATGTCAGGTTATTTTAATCGCAAGGTTCTCCACACACAATACACATTCCTCTTACCTCTTTTACGCCTTGCCTCATATCCTCATCCGCTTCACGTTGCACCATTCACCAGTCACTCTCATATTCCCATTCCCCACACAAACTCTCCATTACGATCTAACCACTCTCACTCATACTCGCACACTCTCACACTCACTCTCGCACTCTCTCGTCAGCCGTCGAGGCGTTCTGCCGGTCCCACCAGCTGTGTCGACTCCGACGATCCCTGCCGTCGGCTCCGACGGCCCAGGAACGTCGTGGTGGACGCGAGCGCGACGGCCGAAATCTCCAAATAATTTGGAGCGGGCATACACAGGACGCTGGGGGAGCCGCGGCTGGCACTGTGCCAAGTAGCCGAGACGAGAGGCGGTAATGTCGATTGGTGAGTGACACGACGAGCAGGGCACTCTCAGGTGACAAAAAAATGGAAACCAACTGGGTGGCGAGTGTGAGCACTAGCCAGACTGTTTTGAAGCATATTGAGAATTGAAGATTACTGAGGCCTCTTGCACCAAAATCCTCTTGCACCAATGCTTGGATTATTTTGCATCGTATACCCACTCCAAGTCTCAAATGTAACAATTTGCGTGCAAAATTTAGCAAGCACATGCAGGATTATGTATTGGGCTATTGCAAACAAATTTACCACCGTTAGATAAGCTTATTCTGAAACCGGTTTTTCGATTTTACCTAGCTAGGTAGTTTGGTGTAAGAGGCCTATGGTGTCTATAAACTGTTCGTTTTTCAGTGAGAGGTCTTATATTTGGCTTAACGGATCTTTCCTGAAACCCTACCATTTCATGTCTGATGATCCGAATACGATCTGTCGCTTGTTTTGTCCGTGTCCGCGTATGTCATCAGCCCCGTGGTCTCTTTTAGAAATATTCCACAACGCTGGGATATTTTGACATGTAGGTATGCTATAGTTACTCATTCCCGATGATTGTGCCCGTAGATGATATCATCGCTGCCCGTAGGTGGACCATTTTGTCTGAGCCCAAAAAATGACCGAAGAGTGTTTTCGTCCTTATTTTAGACGTTCTTTCGATTGCCGCTTACCGCGTGTCGCTACGTGGCCCAGGAGCCGAGTTAGATGGGGGGGGGGGGGTGTTCAGACACCCCCCCCCCCCCGGCCCGGCGCGGAATCTCAGAGCACCGGCCCGGCGCGGGTTAAAATATCAACATCATTCATTCTCTACACGTCTTCAAAGTAGCTCTTAGCATTGATAAACCACATACATATTTCGATTATGATAAAGATGTTTGAGTTTAAGGAGCACTCTGACTGAGCTTGTCACTGCAGGCACAAATAGTGGCTTATGTGAAGTGTTTACCTTGATTGTGCTATCAGGGTGCATGAATGATATCTACCACTGCCATCGCCATCGTGTCCATCGCTGCCACCAAGTCCACCATTATATGGTGCTTCATCGCTGCCACCATCACTGTCTCGCATTTATTTTAAGCTTGACGCATTTTTCGGAGTCTAATCAGGGTCAAAGGTGGACTAAAAATGCGGCGCTGATGCGCATAATATGGGGACAGGGACGCCTACGTCAGACTCGGAGTCGCTTCCGGAATAATGGTTTTGAACACGATTTGTTGAGAAAAAAATCAGAAATATTTAAAAGTTCAAATGCTTAATATTGATAGCACTATTGCCATAGTGCTATGGCACACGCCACAGCAAAATTGATGCTCATTGCTCATGTAGCGTCCAAGCGTCGGTGTACAGGTGATACGGTGACTCCGAATCCCGCTGCACGCGATAGGCTAACAAAATTGTGCCTACGTGGAATACACCGCTAGTCACATACCCCTTCGCCTGTGTACTATTTCTCCGAGCTTTTTATGATCGTTGCATGCATTACTTGATGCTGAAAGAAAATAAGAGATGACTAGTGAAGAAACCGCTGTTTATGGCTTGTGTCAAATATTGGCCATTGTGTCCGGACTCCGGATGTCTCTAAAATAAATTCATTTTTCTTTAGACATGCTTATTCTTTCGGCGATTGGTCGGCTGCGGGCCCAGTCGTTTTACTGCTAACCCAATGGGATCAGCACAGTATTTGCATAATTTTTATATATTTAATAATTTCAGAGTTCTTGACAACACACTAACCACCATGGTAGACGCCA